TCTTATATTCCCTTTATTTATAGCAGTTAATATTTTCATATGATTGATGCATCATCTCAGGAGCACTGCCTATTTATACGACAATAACAACGACAGCTTCTTTACTAATTTGAATCATTTTGAGAATATTTTGCAGGGGAAAAAATTACATCTCAAAAAGTCCTCTGTTCAACTCCAGTACACATTTGAGCATAAGTTTCCAGTTATTTATTTCGCTTTATCCTCAGAGCGGCTAGACAGAGCTTTTAGAGCCTACCTAAAAAATGAACTCATGCAAAAAGCCTCCTCTTGAAAAATCCCTGTAACACAGACAAAAGTCTTTGGGGAAAGGGCCTGAGGGCATGCCTACACTACAAATGCTATATATGTAGCATAGGAACGTAACTATAGTAGCATAAAAGGTTTTTCCACCCCTTCAGTAAATCCACATCTTGAAAGGTGGAAGTTAGGCCAATGAAAGTACCATCTACCTAGTGCACACCAGGCTTAGGATTGGCTTATTTATATTGCTCAAGAGTGTGAATTTTTCACACTCCCAGGTGACATAACTAGATTGTCCTAAGTTTTGGTTGTTGTCTAGGTCTAAGAGTAGAGCTCAAAATGCTAAGAGAAGGACATAAAACTTCAAGGCAACATAGTCCTTTCCAGATCACCAAATGCTATGAGAACTGCAATAGCACAAAAACCACCAATATTCTTATTTGAAGGGGCATCTCTTCTGATAGGAAGCTTTGATTTTTCTTCTGATTTTTGATCAAACATTTTCTTTAACCTATTAAATCATTACTTTGGATTTTTCATTTTTGGCCATCTCTCTACTGTCACTGCAAGGACATACACCATCAGACGACAATGAATAATGACTTCTCTGTGATTCTGTTTTTTCTAAAGGCAAAAGTCTTCTCCTCCTCTCCCCCTCCAGCTCACTGGATCCCTTATGAGCTATATAGATCCTAGGGATCCATTGGAGCAGGGGTGGGTAAAAGCCTCACAATAGGCTGGATCTGGCCCGCAAGGCAGTTTCAGGCCCCGCCCCCTAGCTCATTGCGGTTGCGAGATGGTTTCAACAAAAATACCAGACACACTTGACATGACATCACAATCTACATTCCATCTTATTTAGAAAATACCGGACATTTATATTTTCTCAATTTGTGTCCTGACAGAAAGCTCAAATACTGGACTGTCCAGTTCGAAACCGGACATCTGGCAACCCTAAAGACACATGCTCTTCAAATAGAAACAGTTGAAGGGGCTGGCATCTCTGGCTCCCTAGCAACGCGCTAGAGGTGTGGGGAGCTGCAAGCCCTCTTTCCCACAGGAGTTAGGCCATGCTCTTGCCTGACAGGTGCTGGGAAGGGGCCAGACCTTTCAACAGAAACAGCTGAAAGAGCTCACAGCTCCCCCGTGCCTCTAGTGCATTGCTGGAGACACTGAGCTCCCTTTGAGCTGTTTCTATTTAAAGCACTCTCGTGTTCCCTGCTGCTGCTAGTCAACGCATTGTCTGGTGGGCACAGGGAAGGCGCCGGCTTTTAAATAGTAGCACTTAAAAGGGCTCGCAGCTCACCCAGCCTCTAACTTGTTGCTAGGGAGCCAGAGACGCCAGCCCTTTCAACTACTTCTATTTAAAGGGCTCCCCTGCTGGGTAGCTGCATTGCCTGGCAGCCACCCACAGGGACAAGCCCTTTAAATAGAAGCAACTGAAAATAGCTCACAGCTCTGCCTCACTGGCCAGTTAGTTGCCTGGGAGCTGCCCGGGAGGTGTGAGCCCTTTCAACTGCCTGGAAGGTGTGAGCCCTGCAATTCAAAGGCTTTGTGCCTGCTGGGCAACTGCCAGGCAACAGGTTAGAAATGGGGACAGGAGCAGCGAGCTCTGTGATATGAAGTCTAAGCCTCCACCCCAGACAACTCTGGGAGGAGGCTAACCCCCAAAACTCTCCTCTCTGCTCCAGGTTCCTTCCATTGGCAAAAAGTCAGGGGGCAGAGACACCAGGCCAAGAAAAGCTCACTGTAGGGTAGCTCTCAATCCCTCCTCTTCCACCCCAGTTCCCACTCATTCCTCTTGCTGGATTCTGGAGCTTTCCTCACACCATTTTGCCCAGGAGCACAGCAGAAAAAAATCTGGTTTGGGCTGGTTTAATGGTTTTACTTGGTGAGTGTCTTTTAATGAATTAATAAAGCACATACACAGGCCATTCATTTCACTAAATAAATATTCTTATTGACAAAAATAACAATTTGGCAAGGAGTTTCAAAAACATAGTTAATCATTGGAAATTTTAACAGCTCCCTTCAAGAAGTAGCTTAAATGCCCAATAATCTATTTCTTTACAATTGGTTTTGATAAAAATATCTAGATGCCATTTTTATCGTCAAGTGTGGGGATCTTTATAACTCATAAAACCTAACTGAATATACTTAGTGTGGGTGGGAGGAAAAACAGGGACTTTGATACTATTTCATGGAATCAAAGGTCTGGAAAGGGCCTCAAAGTCATTTAGTCGTCCCCTTCACTCATGACAGGACTAAGTATTAATTTTTAGGGCCCTATGTTTACTGTTAGTGCTGTTGTTATTATAAATGTTACAAATGTTCTCAAAATGTTAGTGTTATTATTTAAAATTTTATATGTGTTGCCTTCTATGATAATCTATGGAAAATGATGTATGAAGTTAATTATTATTACAATTCAATTACTTTGTTGTATAAGAAACATATTGGAGTCTTTTAACAGCTCATGGCCCATCCCCTCCGCCCGAGGCCCCACATCTTCCGTCTGAGGCCCCACCCTTTCAGTTGGCCCATGGACATTTCTGAAATTTGTGAAGTGGCCCCCTTTCAAAAATTATTGCCTACCCCTGTATCTGCATTGGAGGCACAAGGCCCTCAGTACAAAGGTCCAGTAAACTGGCTCTGGGACAGTAGTGATCAGTCTGCCCTTTTGGAATACCACAAATCACCTGACTCGCTGATTCATGCCCCACTCCTCTCTCTTCCTCCTAGAGCTAGAGCTGTTCAGATGATTTACGGTATTCAGAAAGCGCTAGAAGGAAGGGGAACGAGTAGGAAGTGTGGGGCCCACTGCATGAGAGGAGGCAGACAAGGGGTCTGTGGGCTGCAATTGGAGCCCCATTGAGCCTTTGGCTGCTGGAGTGCATTGCGATGAAGAAGGGCTACTCCCTATTCTTGGTTGCCCATTGCTGCTCTGGGACCTTCTGCTGCTGTCCTCAGCTTCCTCGTTTCATACTCATTAAATTAATGAGGAGCAGCATTTATATGGCTGTAATTGAGGATTCTACATAAATCCCACCACAGTACATCATTGTGAATTATTCAGTGTAAGATTCTGCAAACATGCAGGAGTTCTACTGCTTTACTATGACACCAACAATCTGAATAAACTTGTTGCAATATACATCCCTGGGGCTAGATGAAGATCATAGGCCAAATGGGGTCAATGTCATATTATTATATAACATTTGGAGTTGTGCTTAAAGGTTGGGCTCTGGTACTCAGTGCTGGACAATTATATAATATGTGACAATGCCTGGTTCAAGAAGTTTACAATTTATGTATTAAGGATAAATTTACCCCACACAAGGACTATGTACTACCTCAGCCCTAATATGAGGGCTTACACAAGACTTAAAAATGGTGCACAGGCCTTGTATTTATACTCTGCACAAGAGTGAAGAAGTTCATATGCCAACAAAGGGGTTCACACATTAACATAATTATTTCAGGCAGTTGTGACTATTGTACAGTGCTACCCTGCCCCCTCCTAAAAAAAAAGATCCTGTGAACTGAGCGCCAGAATCTGGATCAATTGATTCTGCCTCACAGGGCTCATGGCACAAGGCTAACTACAGCTGTATAGGTGTTTGTGTTTGGGATGAGGGAGAGGGTTTCAGAGCCTGTGCTCTAGCCCAACTTGAATCATAGAATCATAGAATAATAGGACTGGAAGGGACCTCAAGAGGTCATCGAGTCCAGCCCCCCGCCCTCAAGGCAGGACCAAGCTCCGTCTACACCATCCCTGACAGATGTCTATCTAACCTGTTCTTAAATATCTCCAGAGAGGGAGATTCCACTACCTCCCTTGGCAATTTATTCCAATATTTGACCACCCTGACAGTTAGGAATTTTTTTCCTAATGTCCAATCTAAACCTCCCCTGCTGCACTTTAAGCCCATTACTCCTTGTCCTGTCCTCAGAAACCAAGAGGAACAAATTTTCGCCTTCCTCCTTGTGACACCCTTTTAGATATTTGAAAACCGCTATCATGTCCCCCCTTAATCTTCTTTTTTCCAAACTAAACAAGCCCAGTTCATGAAGCCTGGCTTCATAGGTCATGTTCTCTAGACCTTTAATCATTCGTGTCGCTCTTCTCTGTACCCTTTCCAATTTCTCCACATCTTTCTTGAAATGTGGCGCCCAGAACTGGACACAGTACTCCAGCTGAGGCCTAACTAGTGCAGAATAGAGCAGCAGAATGACTTCACGAGTTTTGCTTACAACACACCTGTTGATATAACCTAGAATCATATTTGCTTTTTTTGCAACAGCATCACACTGTTGACTCATATTCAACTTGTGGTCCACTATGACCCCTAGATCCCTTTCCGCCATGCTCCTTCCTATACAGTAATTTTTAAGCCCAGCAGAGAGATACCTATGAATTTAGTCAGTTAATCTGGGCTCTGAGACTTTGTACTGTTGGCTGTTTTTTGCAGCGTACACGTACCCAAAGGGGGGGCTGATTTTCAAAGCATAAATGGGAGTTCCATGCTCAACTTCCACTGAAAAGCAACAGTATCTTCACTGAGATCCCTGGCTTCCTTTTGTGTCTTTGCAAACAATCTTTGTATCCATTTGAAGTATGGGAAAAAATAACTCAGAAGTCCAGGTTTATTGGTCAGTTCAGGGATCTGCTTCCCTGACACCATTTCTGTATGGAAAAGCAGGAAACACTGGGAAGCAGGAAGAAGAGGGAAACTTACTTTCACAACATCCTCATCAGAGGACTTGCATTCCACCGATTCAGAGATGTCCATCACAGCACTGTTCTCCTCAATGGAAACCACTTTGATGGGCACTGCAACCGTCTTTCCCGTGAGAATTGCGGTGTTCAGAATTTCTGTGTCCTGCACACAAAACCAAGCACATAATTTTTGGAATGAAACCACAGGATGGTTAGAGAGATTCCTAAGAACCCAGAGCTTGTCAACTGGTGTGAAGTCAATGGAGACAAGCCGGTTATCACCAGCTGATGAGCTGACCCAATTTTCCCCAACTAGAAACCATTTATTCAAATGTAGTAAATCCAAACTTATATCCTTTGTATTAGACAAACTCTTGCATGCACATTTGTAATGCTGATAGGCAAGATCGAACATGCGCCCTTTAGAGCTTAGTGCAGGAGCCTCTAAGCGCATGTGAGCTAAAATCCACCTGAGCCTCTAGCACATGAACTAAAAACCAACTGGTCCATGCAGTAGAGGCTTATGCACTAAGCTCCAGAGGTCCCAGGTTTAATTCCACCTTTCCATGTTACACATTGACAGCCCATTTACTTTAACTGTACTCTCTAAAGGTATGTCTACACTACCCCCCTAGTTCGAACTAGGGGGGGTAATGTAGTCATTCGGAGTTGCAAATGAAGCCCGGGATTTGAATTTCCCGGGCTTCATTTGCAACTCCGAATGACTACATTACCCCCCTAGTTCGAACTAGGGGGGGTAATGTAGTCATTCGGAGTTGCAAATGAAGCCCGGGATTTGAATTTCCCGGGCTTCATTTGCAACTCCGAATGACTACATTACCCCCCTAGTTCGAACTAGGGGGGGTAATGTAGTCATTCGGAGTTGCAAATGAAGCCCGGGATTTGAATTTCCCGGGCTTCATTTGCAACTCCGAATGACTACATTACCCCCCTAGTTCGAACTAGGGGGGTAGTGTAGACATACCCTAATATACAAAACAAAATATTTTCAATTTTTTTCATCCCAGAAAGCTCTGCTTCCCAACAGCTTCTGCCTTGTACCCATATTACAGGCAAACTAAGGGTCCAAAAGCTTTCTACTGGACAAGGGAACCACGATTTACATGCCAAAATTCGACTTCAGGGCTGTTTATTAAGATGAGCGCGGGAGCTGCAAAGTTTCAAACTCAATTCAAACTTCTCCACATTTGGATGCAGGCCATTTGAAGAGTTGGTGTCTCGTATCTGGACAAGAACTTTGAAGATTTTGTTTCTTTTGAAATGGCTGAATGTAAGGAATCCAGCAGGTGTTAGTGAGGCTATAACCCACAGAGCAAATAAGAAGGAAATCTGAAAGCCTAAAATCAGATCTGAAAGGGTAAAAACCTTTTAATCCACCTCCAACACAGCTAACAGTGGTTTCATTTTTCAAGCGAGTTCAACATCACGCTGCTCCTAAGACTGACTTCTAGGTAGAATTTCAAGGCTTTATGCAGCCTTTTAACTTCCAGCTGTAAAAAGTGAATAAAAATCAGCAAAAGCACCAAAGGCCATTCTTGCAGCACAAAGGTCAAGAGGAATTTGCTATCAAAAGAAGCAAAATTGGGCACTGATGCTCTAGCTATTGTTTTCAATTCAAATGTAACTGATTTACATTACATTTTCTTTCTTTCTTTCTTTCTTTCTTTCTTTCTTTCTTTCTTTCTTTCTTTCTTTCTTTCTTTCTTTCTTTCTTTCTTTCTTTCTTTCTTTCTTTCTTTCTTTCTTTCTTTCTTTCTTTCTTTCTTTCTTTCTTTCTTTCTTTCTTTCTTTCTTTCTTTCTTTCTTTCTTTCTTTCTTTCTTTCTTTCTTTCTTTCTTTCTTTCTTTCTTTCTTTCTTTCTTTCTTTCTTTCTTTCTTTCTTTCTTTCTTTCTTTCTTTCTTTCTTTCTTTCTTTCTTTCTTTCTTTCTTTCTTTCTTTCTTTCTTTCTTTCTTTCTTTCTTTCTTTCTTTCTTTCTTTCTTTCTTTCTTTCTTTCTTTCTTTCTTTCTTTCTTTCTTTCTTTCTTTCTTTCTTTCTTTCTTTCTTTCTTTCTTTCTTTCTTTCTTTCTTTCTTTCTTTCTTTCTTTCTTTCTTTCTTTCTTTCTTTCTTTCTTTCTTTCTTTCTTTCTTTCTTTCTTTCTTTCTTTCTTTCTTTCTTTCTTTCTTTCTTTCTTTCTTTCTTTCTTTCTTTCTTTCTTTCTTTCTTTCTTTCTTTCTTTCTTTCTTTCTTTCTTTCTTTCTTTCTTTCTTTCTTTCTTTCTTTCTTTCTTTCTTTCTTTCTTTCTTTCTTTCTTTCTTTCTTTCTTTCTTTCTTTCTTTCTTTCTTTCTTTCTTTCTTTCTTTCTTTCTTTCTTTCTTTCTTTCTTTCTTTCTTTCTTTCTTTCTTTCTTTCTTTCTTTCTTTCTTTCTTTCTTTCTTTCTTTCTTTCTTTCTTTCTTTCTTTCTTTCTTTCTTTCTTTCTTTCTTTCTTTCTTTCTTTCTTTCTTTCTTTCTTTCTTTCTTTCTTTCTTTCTTTCTTTCTTTCTTTCTTTCTCCAGTCTTACAATATTTTACTCTGAGGCTATGTCTACACTGCAGGGAAAAGTCGGAAAAATATATATAAATTGCAAACTGTCTACACAGGACCAAATGTTGGAAAAACACCCCCTTTCAGAAGATCCCTTCTTTCTCATAGAATGAAGTTTACAGGGATGCCAAAGAATGCATCTGCTCTTTCAAAAATTGTTTCTGAAAAGCAGACATGTTCCTTGGATATGGCAGAGCTTATCCAGGATATCTCCGTTATCTCGAAAAAGCTCTGCAGTATAGACATAGCCTGAGTTTCATCTCTTCCTCTTATTAAAAAAAAAAGACGGAATAGATAATAGAAGAAGGAATATTGATATTTCTGGACAAGTCAGAAACCCCTGTGGGAGCCTAAGGAATTTATATACACACACCTGTATCCCACATTGTAAGTCTAAAATTTCCAAAAACTAAAAATTATGTCTCTCAGTCCCTTCTGAAGCCCCTGAGTATGAAGCCTGTTTTTACAGAGAGAGAACACCTACTATATCCCACTGGTTCTGATGGGTACTCGGCAATTTTGAAAATCAGGATACTTTTGTTAAACACATGACTTTAAGAGCCTAACTTGTAAAAATCTTGCCCCATAAAGGGTTCCATGTACTGTTACTTTTGTACAAATACTTTTAGACATGTAAGCACACACACAAACAAAAAAGTGAAATCTTCAGAATTTCTAAAACTTTAATAAACAAGAATTTTCTTAAAAAAAAATCACCTTCATGTAGGATTCAAACTTCAATAATCCAGCCAGCCACTTAAAGGGCTAAATGTACTACAACTTTTGCTGTCTATTTTCAATACTGATAGCATCATATGTCATGTTGCTGTTCTTTGCCTCAGTCTCTAAACACATTTACTTATTTTTTGTGTCTGAGAATGTTAAATTGTGCAAACTAAAGGTTCTGAGCAGTGAGAGTGCTTGTGGAAGTGACAGAACATCTTTTTAGGCTATCTCCAGTCTGCTCTAAAATGACTATATTCTGATCAAGTTTGTCTTTAGCTACTAGAGTGAATTACAGATGTAGAAATCTAATTTAAATGGACAGGCTCAGAATAAGAGACATCTCATAAACAGAAGTACAACTTTAAGCACCGAACATATTGTATAGCGTGGGTATTTCTCAATGCTTTTATCCAATGCCAGACCATTAGAGCAAACCAACAGAACAAAAAGGGCATGTCCATACTAAGAAATTATTTTGAAATAACCAAATTTGAAATAATAGCTCCCAAAATAACTATTTCAAAATTAGCTTATTCCCCAAAGAAATAGCCACCCCATTATTTTGAAATAACAGGCTTGGTGGTATGGACACTCCACTTTTTATTTTGAAATAAGGGAGTTATTCTGAAATAACTCCATAGTATAGACCAGGGTGAACAGATGTGAACACAAGATGAGATGATGCACATGTAACATCAGCTTGACACTGTGCATAACGATGGGTGTAACTCACAAATGATTTGAATGGGAACCACCAGAGCTTACTTCAGCATTGAATTCATCATGTCCCATAAAGTAGGTAATCAGTGGGATAAAATAAATAACAGGAAGCAGAATATTGAAGAGGGTAGCAGTGAGGTGTTGTATATAAGGCCACAAGCTATTGATCTGATGTTGGATGACAAATCATGTGTTCCTGAGATCCTTTAACACTGAGGCCCTATCCCGATATCACAAGGAAGAAAAAGCCAGCTGCTCACCTAAACTGGTATCCCAAAAGGATGATAGTGAAACTTCTGAAAGTGTGTTATAGTAGCAGCAGCCTTACCAAGATTACTTCACATTGCAGCTAAGCTCTGGGGGTATGTCTACACAACAGCGTTATTTTGAAATATCTTATTTAATAATCAAAATAGTTCATTCGAAATAAGATATTTTGAAATAACGTGTCTGCACACAAAATGCATTTCAAAATAGCATTTTGCTATTTTGAAACAGTGTGTCCACACTGATTGGACGCTGAATCTAATTTAAGGCCAACTGAAACCGGTTCCAGCAGGGCATCAGGTCAGTAGTTACTTTGTGTGGCTGCTGCCTGAGGCTATCTGAGGCTTAGAGGGACCCCCCAGACAGCTAGTTCTCAGCTTTCCCTGCTTGCTTGCCTACTTCACTGAGGGATAGCAAAGAATTTTTGTCTCTGTCTGCTTTGGTTGCCCTGACTCGAGACACCACAGCACTTGGCACCATGGAGCCAGAGCTGCCCCTGGGCACTCTGGTGCTCATTTTGGATGTCTTGTTGCAAGCCTGGCAACAATTGCTGGAGTCTGCCTCGCAGCATCTGCTGCAGCCCGACCCCCAGGCCCTCTTCTAGGCCCTCCTGGGGGATGAGGAGGAGCAGCAGCAGTGCCTGGATGCCAGAGCGTCCTGCCACATTTGGCATCTGGACACGAGCAATGACTGGTGGGACCACATCGTCCTGGAGCGCTGGGGAGACCAACAATAGACCCAGAACTTCAGAATGAAGGACACCTTCCTTGAGCTCTGTCAGTGGCTTGCCCCTGCTCTGCAGTTATGGGACATTCCCCTCCAGAAGTGTGTGGCCATTGCCCTCTGAAAGCTCTCCACACTGG